ATTGAATTGTTTTTTATTCGGCTACTTAATTAACTTTATATGATCTTTTTGCTGTATTCCAATTCTATTACAGATCGAGAAACAAAAAATTAATTAAGTTAACAATAAAATTCAATCAATTTATCACGAAGTTTATAGAATGCCAGTCCTCAAAATGTACTCTTTACCACCAACGTTTCCGTGTCTGCTTGTAGAAAAAGACGAACGTTACGAAGCAATAAACGAGTAACAGTAAAACCTTTATCATGTCATCAAATGTTCTAGGTCTTTTTGTAATAAAAAAAAAAAAAAAAAACCTAATCAAATCGATATAAAATTCAGTTTCTCTTAATAAATAATAAAATCAAGTAATAAATCAGAAGTACGATGACTCTTTGTTTTTCTTTTGAAAAATTAATATGTAAGACGATTGTTATGTATAACGATTATCATTTTAAACTTTTGTGCGTTTTTTTTTTTACGCAGGATGGCAAGTCTTACACGGTATCCAGAGGACTGCAATAAGTATGTCATGTGCAGCGATGGAAAATGCAAGCTGGAAACGTGCGAGCCCACTTACATTTTCGACCCAGTTACGTCGACCCACCGGCTCGTGGGTCCATCAACTGTTTCGGATTCTCGCGGAAGCTATAAATTACGAAACGAAAGATTTGTTGAGATCACATGCTGTAAACGTATTATATTTTCATCGTGAGGAAAGATTGAGAAAGATTCCAAAGTGGCTCAATAAAGCGTCGTACGAAATGGCAATCTTATCCCATTTGTCATCCCGTGTTATCTGTGTCTACGTCCTTGGTATCAGTCCCTTTATAAAGGCCGGCTTATCACCGGCATTCACAAGGAGAGGTTTGTTCAGGCACCGTCAATTGGCAAATAGTAGTCTGTTTTGCACTCGCTCGTTTATTATGTTGACTTTTTATCGGCATGCTTCTTTTTTTTTTCATTCTTACATATACGTAAGCATACGTCTCAAACTGAGGAGGAGAACTTTTCTTCTCTCTCTTCTTTTCGTTTCGTTATTCTACATTCTTTTGTTGAGTATGTAACCTCGACCTCTCTGGCTGATAATCCTCCGGT